GGGCATATCTTTTCTAAATAAAGTATATACTGAATATAAAACTAATAGAAGTAATCTATTATTTTATATATACTTTTAAAATAAGGCAAGGAAAGGCAACAACATTCGAGGAGGCTACTTTAATTAGTAGAGCTGGAGGATAATGAACAAGAAAGTGTTGTTTGGGTGTTAAGCATTTATGTGAGAAAGACTAGAGATAACTTTGATGACACACTGTTATATTTTGTATTGAAAATATTTTTCAAATTAAGCACTAGCATTATAAAGCAGTCATTTGTAATCTTAGTTCAAAAGATGCAAAAGTTGTGAGTCGACTATGTATGTTAAAAAAGCCAAAAAAGATTTTTATTTATTGTAATATGAATAATGAATATGAAAAAATAAATGCAATTTTAATCGTTTCACAACAAAAAAAAAAAAAAAAGGCAAGTAATGAAATCTAAAATGAAAAATTTTTAGACATGAATTTGTTTATTACAATATATTTTATTTTTTTGTTACAATAGCAAATGCCGCTAAATTTTTCTTGTTACAAGAACTGTGATGCTTTTTTTTTACCATGAAGCAGAATTTTGTTAATTTTGTTAAACACCGATCGCTTACCAACCATCTGCACCATTGCTCCATCACTCTATATTGTATTTAACTGCTTCATAGAAAACAGTTGCTTCCCTGATCAATCAAAATCAGCAAATGTAACACCAATTCCTAAATTCTCAAACCCACTATCTTTGAATGGCTATCGTTCAATTGCTATTATGTCAGCGTTATGCAAAGTTTTTGAACAAATAGTCACCAAATTCATTGTCCATTGCACCAAGCATATCTGGGTCTCAAACCAACAGTTCTGTTTCCTTCCAGGCCATAGTACAATGGGCGCTATTATTCAAGTTATAGAGGATTAGAGTAATGCTAAAGATAATAATAAATAAATTTTTGCAATGATCATCGATTTTGCAAAGGCATTTAATCTAGTTGATCATGACAACTTGCTTCTAAAGTTGGTGAATATTCTACCTAAATGGCTCACATCTTGGATCGCAGCTTACTTATCTAATTGTTGCCAAAGAGTAAAAATAAGTGATCACACCACTGATTTTAAATATATACAAGCCAAAGAACTTCAGGGTAGTGTTCTTGGCCCAATCTTGTTTATTCTCTTTATTTCCAACATAAACACCTACCTCCCATCTGAAACCATTCTAAAAATGTATGCTTACAACATCCTGACCTACATTAACTACAATATCTTACAATATTTCATTTGGCAGTTCCTGCCAATTTACCTCAATCCATTGCTAATGGTGTTGCATATTGCTCTACGGCTAATGTAATGAACCTTAACAGCTTAAAATGTAAAGTCATTAGAATCATTGCTTGTTGCTCAGACACTCATGTTTCATTTTGATTTTATTTGGATTTCATCCTAAATTTAGCTATTCAATGTACTTATATACGAAGATAATGTAGGTTTAGCATAGGAACAGCCACAAATTGCTATAAAGACTAACCCAAAAAAGCATCCGTTTTTAACCAACATTTTTTGCTTACCAAAGTATTACTTATGTGCTGACATGGCAGTGGCCGGACTTGAATTAGTTTTGCATAACAGTCCAAGTCTTAACATTTTATTTGACGTTCTAACTAACTGAGCTATCCAGCTATTAATCCAGCTACTGTATGTATCAGATAAGTTAAAATATTTTGTGATGTGTTGATTTTTAAGTTGTTTAACACAATAGTACAACACCCTAAACAACATCGAAGAAGGCAACAGAAACACACACACACACACACACATATATATATATGTATATATATATTTATATATATATATATATATATATATATATATATATATATATATATATATATATATATATATATATATATATATATATATATATATATATATATATATATATTTTTACTAATAAATTAGTAAAAAATTTTTTTTCCTACTGCCAGTTTCTGCCTTTGTTAGAAAAAAGTTTAAAGCTCAAAAAATTCAAAATTTATTATAAGGTACTTATTTTTATTTATGCATTTAAAAATTAATTGTGACATTTTGTTTGATAAATTTTATTGATTTAAATGAGAAATTAATTTTTTTTGCTACCATAGCGTACAATTTTCAGAAAAACTATTGCAGGCTGGAAAAGTGACAGATTCAAGTAGGGGGGAAGGGGGATTGGGATATTTATCCCCCTCCCCCACCAGAATCTGAAACCCTAAAATATCTTAGAAACTAAGGGTCTTTTTTTTTTCAGGAGACAAATGTGGTATCAACATATCCCTATCCCCCCCTCTTCCACCAAAAATTCCTGGATTTGTCACTGGGCTGGAACAATTTTTAGTTAAGACCAAATAAATAAGTTTTTCTAAGCAAAAATATAGGTTTCATTCTTACTATAATAAAAAACAGAATTTTTTTATATCAAAAGAAATGTAATAAAAAAGTTTATTTAAAATGGTATTGTAGAAAACAGACCGAAAGAATTGTTAAACGCGTTGTTTAGGCAAAAAATAAGCCAAAAATTAATAAGTATTTTGCAAACATGTTTTCTCTAATTTGAAAAAACAATTCAAGCTTTAAATTTATATTTTTTAAAAGTAAATATAAAGTTTTCTTTTTGTCAAAAAATAGTATTTTGCTTTTATTACTGCCATTTACTACTCTTGTCATTTTAACAATTTTTGAATTGTTGCTGAAGAATGGAATAATATGTGAATATTATTCCATTCTTTTTTAGAATGTTTTTAGAATTACGTTTTTGATGTTGGAAATTCAATTCTTACTTTTCTATCTAGTTTATTCCATAATAGTTTAATTGGGTTGAGGCCTGGACTTAGAGGAGGTCAGGTCATAATGTAACAAAGCTTCATTATTTTTTGCCTCTATTATGTAAAATAATTTTTTCTTAATGATTATGTTTAGGGTCATTATTGTGTATCAGCATAAAATTGTCACCAATTAATCGAAGTCTAGAAGGAATTGCATTTGTTTGCAAAATATCTCTGTAATGTTCTTTTCTCATAATGCTATCAAACAACCCCAAACTATTAGAGAACCTCCACCATGCTTTATTGATGGAATAAGGCATTGGCTTAACAAACAATTTTTCTTGAGCAGATCTTCTGACAAACTCTTCTCTTATTTTCAAGAGTTTCATATTTTAATTCATCTGTCCAGAGTACATATTTTTAATCATCCATCTTCCAATTTTTGTGGAATTTTGCCAATTGCAATCTCTTTTGTTATTTACCTCTCTGCAAATATGATTTTTGGACAGCAGCACAACCATGTAGATTTGCTTCTTGTAATCATTATTTGAGCATACATATAGATTTTTTCTCGACCACGGTTGAAAATAACTGATATTTCTGAAGCATTTAATAATCATTTGCGCTTACTGATAATTTTTACTCGTCTGTCATCAGTATTTGTTATTTTATGTGAAGGACCTGGCCGATTTCTGTCTTCCAATCTTCCAGTTTCTTTATGTCGATGTATTGTGTAACTAACCATTGATTTTGTCAGATTTAATTTTTATTCAATTTTTCTAACAGCATATCCTTCTTAACAATTATTTACGCTTACTGATAATTTTACTCGTCTGTCTTCAGTATTTGTTGTTATATGAGAAGGACCTGGTTGGTTTCTGTCTTCTAATCTTCCAGTTTCTTCATATCAATGTATTGTGTAATTAACCATTGATTTTGTCAGATTTAATTTTTATTCAATTTTTTTAACACCAAAAAAATTCCTTCTTAAAGCAAAGTAAATATTACTGCTTATTTTTCTATAATTATTTCTATTACTTAATTTTTCTTGTCTTTAGGCATTTATTAGTTCAGACTGACAAGACTCTAACATAAATGTGTTAATCATCTTAAAACAACTTTGTTAAGATTTTTTTATATAAATTTTGTTTAACTTGATTTATTTTCATTTAAACATAAATTCCGGTAATATAAATTAACCATGTTATGATGTAATTACATTTAATCATTTTTCTTTAAAAAAATATGTTGTTCAAACTTCCATGAGTGGCAGTATATGACATATTTATATATATGTATATATATATATATATATATATATATATATATATATATATATATATATATATATATATATATATATATATTCGGAGGTTAAGGTTTATATATACTATAGGTTTAGGGGTTAAGTTTAATCTATACTATATATACTATAGGGTTTATATATACTCCTAAGTCAAGGGTTAGGGTCGGTGTTTATAGGGACATATTTTTTTTGTTCCCGTTATGTATTTTTTTTTAACTTTTTTTATACTATTTTTATCGTATTTGTATTTTTTTTTTTAATTTTGATTTTATTTCTATTTTTATTTATACATATTTACATTTATTATTTTATTATAAAAAAATGTTTTTTATATTTATTTTTGTTATTTTTATTTATTTAATATATATTTTATATCTATATATCTATATATCTATATATCTATATATCTATATATATATATATCTATCTATCTATCTATATATATATATATATATATATATATATATATATATATATATATATATATATATATATATATATATATATATATATATATATATATATATATATATATATATATATATATATATATATATGTATATATATATATATATATATATATATATATATATATATATATGTATATATATATATATATATATATATATATATATATATATATATATATATATATATATATATATATATATATATATATATATATAGTAAAATCAAATCAAATATGTTCTAAGTAAAGTTGTTACATCAAGGATATTTACAAATAGTATTAAGTACTAATATAAAGTAAGCACCTGTTAATTTCAGTTATAATAAAAAGAGGGATAACAGTCATTATAATACAAGTAAGAACAATAGTAGTAATTATAATTGTTGTCAACTTTCAAATATTTTTAAATATTTAATCTCATATATTCATCTAAAAAATTAGGGAACTTGCTGAGACTTGAAAAAAAGAGTAGTATTAAAAATAATCACGATGGAAAAGCATATAGAAGACAAATTTTTACAAGAGTACAACATCCCCACCATCTTGTCATAGATAATGTACCTGTAAGATTTTTACCTTTAAATATAGTTTTTTTTCCTGCCATTAACTTTAATTTTTAATTGTTAATGGTATCTTTATTACAGTTTTTATAATTTTAGGTTCACTATAATGGGCAAAGATTTGGAAATGGTGAACCAGAGTATATTTTAGATCAAAACTATCAAGTGCCAGCAAGGTTCAGAAGTAAGGAACTGAAAAGTTGTTACATCAATTGTATGATAAAAAGTTCAAAGATGACAAATTTTTAAAAAGTAATAATGTTTTTTTAGATTATGGAAGGGTACCATTTTCTTTAGCAAATCTACAAATGACCCTTTTAAATAACAATATTCATGGAAGAGGACACTCATTTGATCAGTTATTTCAAAGTGTTCCAAATCCCCCTATTCCACGACAGGTGTTTAACCATCTTATTGGAGAGCGAAATCCATATAAAATTGAAGATTCAGGTGAAGCAATAATAGCATCTGCTGACCCAATTTTGGAGAGATACAATCCTGGACAGGAATATTACAATGGGATTGATACTAACATTTTGTTACCAATCGGAAAACCTTTTTCATTGTTAAACAAGAATACAAAATATGGGTATACAAGTAATAGTATTCAGGTAAAAATGATAATTATCTAAATTTATTGAATGCTTATTGTGATTTAAACCAGCGTAAGTGTGTGCCCATGTGCGTGCCCTCATGTGCGCCTACTAAATTGTTGTATCAATAGTTGCTGTTATTATGTAAATATTTTTAATTTTTTTTTTGTTTCAATAATTTTTGTTATTTAGACTTTATTTTAGGTTCCAACTAATGATTTAGTAACTGAAAAGATTCTTAATTACTTGAGTGCTGGTTACGACATCAAAGACAATTTTAATGTTGCTAAAGGAATACTAAGTGATCAATTGGCTCCACCAGCATTATTTTTTAAAGAACAGAAAAGAAAAGAGTTAAAATCATCTAGTGCTTCTAATGTAGCTAATGGAAATTTAGATGATGGATTTAATGAAAATTTTCCAGACATGGAACCAATTCTGAGAGGTAAATTATTTATGTAGATTGAATCTTATATATAAAGTATTTTAAAAGTCTTTTTATTTATTTATTTTTATTTTTTTGTTAACTTTTTTTTTTTTGAATTATTTTATAGTCAATTTGCTTAAAAGAAGGATATTTACTTTGTTTCTCAATCATATAGTTTTGTTTGTTTTTTTATAAACTTTTACAAATTCTTTCATAAAATCATTTATTAGAAGAAATACTACAATGTTTCATTTTTATTTCTGATTGTTTTAAAAATTTTTTCAAAAGCATTATATTTAATTCAGTATCAAGCTTTGAGTCAGTAATTTACTTTTTGATATGTTTGGATTTATTAGTTTACTTTTATTACATCACATGATTAAAATTTACTATATATAAGTTGTATTCAAACATTTAATATGTCAACCATTGTATAACAGCCACTAATATTTGAAACAAGTTGTTGTTTAAACACTTTTTATTATACATATATATATATATATATATATATATATATATATATATATATATATATATACATATATATGTATATATATATATATATGTATATATATATATATGTATATATATATATATATATATATATATATATATATATATATATATATATATATATATATATATATATATATATATATATATATATGTATAATTGTTGATAGGTATAGTATTTAGTTAAAAATACAGCTCTTGTCTGCTTAAGAGTGATCAATATTTCTTTGTAAAATAGATGGAATTATATTTATATAATTTAAATGAAAAAAAAAAAAATACAAAAAAAAAGATATAAAAAGTTGTATTTTTTTCATTTAAATTATATATATATATATAAATATATATATATATATATATATATATATATATATATATATATATATATATATATATATATATATATATATATATAATATATATATATATATATATATATATATATATCATTTTTATTTATATCAGTGACATATTCAGTTTAATTTTAACACAGCTAAATTTGTTTCTATAGTTGCTATAGTTCATAAATAAATAAATTGATTTACAAGTTTGTATGTAAATTTATATAGTTTTGTAATATATAAATTTGTGCTAAAAAACTGTAAACGAGAGAGCAAAGTAATATTTCAAATCTCATTTTTAATAAAAACTTGAACAAATGAGTACTTTTGAATTTGATTTGATATTACTTATGGACATTTATATTTGTATAAATTTATATTTAAATTAAGCACAAGCAAATAACTTTTAAGTAAAAATTGTTAAGTAAAAATAAAAAATAATGATTATATTAAAGATATTATTAGTATTATTTTATGAATTTTTCTGAAGACAACAAAATCAATATGAATAAAAACTATAATGGGTAATATGCAACATTATGCAACTTTAAAACAAAATTTTCGTAATTTTGTATATTGCTTTTAAACAGTTATTAAATAATTATATTTATTGTATTTTTTTTATAAAGGATATCATCATCATAATCACCGCCAACTCTCAAAACATCAAAAAATCAAGAATAATATTCATCAATCGAAATCTCATGATGTTTCATTAGATGTCAGTCATGTGTTTGATCATGAAGACAGTTTTAATTTTGCTCCATCAAAAGGAGTTGTTGTGCCAGAAAAAGATGCAAGAAAAATTGGTAATGTTTTTGATCATATGTGCAATAGATTTACTGAAATAAATCTATTGCATATATAATAAAATAACAGTTATTTTAATTGCAGTGTATTAAGTATTTTCCAAATATAAATAATTTTTAACTTTAAGTTAAAAGAATAAAGTACAGTTTATGAAATATATAGTAAAACAGCAAGCATATTAAATATAAAAGTAGTAGCATAGTAACATGATTTAACTAAGTAAGGGTAAAGTTTGGTTAAATAATAATTGAAAAATTTTTGCTGATTTTTTATGAAGGTTTGTATGACAAAGATTATCTTGAGAAATTGGGTGTGTGGGATGATTTCAAGTCACATCCTTCTACATGGATTGATGCTATTCTTAGAGATAATGATGCTTGGGGGACAAAAGGAGGTAATTTTGGTATACATTGCAATAAAGTAAATTAAAAAACAGACATACTATTTTAAAAAAAATGTGTTTTATAAAAAAAAATAGACTATATATATATATATATATATATATATATATATATATATATATATATATATATATATATATATACATATATATATATATATATATATATATATATATATATATATATATATATATATGTATGTATGTATGTATGTATATATATATATATATATATTTTATATATATATATTTATATTTATATATATATATATATATATATATATATATATATATATATATATATGTATATATGTATAAATATATATATATATATATTTATATATATAAATATATATTTATATATATATATATATATATATATATATATATATATGTATATATATATATATATATATATATATATATATATATATATATATATATATATATATATATATATGTATATATATATATATATATATATATATATATATATATATATGTATATATATATATATATATATATATATATATATATATATATATATATATATATATATATATACTATATATATATATATATATATATATATATATATATATATATATATATATATATATATATATATACAGAGAAATATTTATATTTTTGCCCATGGGGCACTAATTTTTTGAGCGCCCTCTTTTACAAATAACTGTCAACATTGATATGGGCTGATTATTAAAAAACAAAAACATTTTTAGTACAAACATATATATTTTAACTCACTAAAATTAAAAAAAAAATTATAGTTTTCAATGTGAGTTTTGTTTTGCAAATGTATTTATGTCATTAAAGTTAATATCTATGGTAAGTGCAGAATCAATAAATAAAATTGCTAATCTATTAATACGATCACCAGTCATTCCTGATCTCAAGTAAAGTTAAACCCTTTTTAATGCTGAAAATAATCTCTCGGCTGAACAATTACACGTTGGGCAGTATAGATATATCCTTAATGCTATATCTACTTATAGTAGATATAACATTAAGGATAGTTATATAGTTCTTGAAATTTATCAGTTCTGATCATTTTACAAATATCTTTTATAGTTTTATGTCTTATGTTTTCAGTTAAAATCATTAAATAACTTTTGAATTGTATACACTCGTTAGCAAATGAAGACAAAAATTTTTATATTTATTTTGAAGTATTTCTGCTTTTTTGTAAACTTTTAATGGTGATAGTTTTATTATTTGAAACAAAAATTAACATTTTTTATTGGCTTATTTATCCACTGCACGACATAATGATAAGACACCCCAAAACTATTTATAAAACTCTATTAACTCTAACAAAGTTTTCACCACCTATGACAGATGCTTCACGTCTTAAAATTCTTGAATGATTAAAAGATAATCCTTAGCCTTCATTTTTCCATCAATAAAATGAATTTTTGATTTATCATGATTTTCAATCGCACACCAAATCATTACACCACCGTTACCCATTTGACCTCGTTGCTGTGTTACTAGTTCTTTACGAAAATAATAATTCCATCTATCGGCCCATCAAGACAAAATCATTTTTTGTCAGAAAATACTACTTGTTGCCACTCTTCTTTCTGTGTTACGCAGTCCTTTGCAAAAGTTATTCGATTGTTTATGTGTTTTGTTGTCAAAGGTGGTTTTTGCTGAAGTTTTTTGGGCAAAAGGTGAAAAGCATCTTCTTCTTCTTCCTCTTTTTCTTCTTCATTTCTTCTTCTTCTTCTTCTTCTTCTTCTTTTCTTCTTCTTTTTCTATTTTTGTTGAATCTTTCTACTATGTGGCCATTAAAGCTGTTTCAAGACTGTCTAATTTTAAATATTGTCCATCAGCATCTGATCTTGTGATTGACCTTTGTGATTTATCATCTTTGATAAAAGACAATTATTTAATTTATTCCAATTTTTTGTTTAAACTAATACTTGGATCAAATCTTGCTGACCACCTGGTATCTGTTTTCCGGGTGATACATTTTCTATTTTAATTTAATTGTTCTGAAGTCTCATCTAATTGTAGAAGCACTGAAAAATTTATACATATTTTGAAGTAGAATAAAAAATTCATAATTATTTCTACAACAGTCTACAGCACATTCACCAACAAGATTTAAAGAGTGTGCCAAGTGGCACAAATGTAGCTAAAAGATTAACTTCTTTAATGCGAGCTTGAAGATATATTTATATACTAACCATGTTAGACGCATTGTCGTAAATTTGACCATGACAGTTTATATCTAATTCATGCCATTCCAAAAAAATTTAGCATCAGCTAATTCTTCAGATTTTTGACCAGAGTTGGATAAAAGTCCTAAAAATCTTTCTACCAGACAGTCATTCTTTTGGACATACCAAAAAAGGAATACAGTTAATCTACATGGCTAATATCAAAAGTAGAATCAATATTGATGGAAAAAATATTAACTTTATTTCTTTTACCATTTGTTGTATAAAATTGTCTGCTATTATCTACTTATGAAATGCTCATGTGTATTAAAAGATAGGTACGATGTTGAACCTTTTACTTTATTGCCAAACTTCTCAATATGCTGTGCATAATTGTTTATAATTTGCAAGTGGACTTTGATCGCCTTTTGAGTAATTGTATTTTGAGTGATAAAGAATTTTGGTTATTTAGTAGGTCTATGAGTCAATCTATGATTTGGACATGATAATAAAACAAAAATTTTTGTGATAATGATATAAAATAACTATAGGAAGGAGAAAGCAAAAGCAGTGCTATTCTAACATAAATAAATTGAGTAGTGATACACAGCTGTTCAAATTTTTTTTGTGTTCTTAGCATTCATGGCAGAAACAAGAGGATTTAACAGCACATTGCCAAGTAAGTGAATTTTGTATTGCAATAGTATTTTAAAAGTAATTTGTGCTTTATATAGTGTATACGATTTTTTTTACTTGATTTGAATTTAAGTTTTGCAATTTGTTCTTGATAAAATGTAGTTCTCATATAATATATGACCCATTTATTACTTGTGGTCCATATAAATTTTTGAACCTATTTTTCACCCATAATCCAGTTAAAAGACAATATTTTTTACTTATGTTGCAACACAATGTCAATAACATTATATCAGAAACTGTTAGTTTTAAGATTAAGGAATACACGAAAGAGAAATGAATGCATCTTAAATGAATGCATCTTAAATGAATGCATCTTAAGTGAATGCATCTTAAATGAATGCATTGTTGTTTTATAATAGATGTTTTGAGTTTTGTTTTTGTTTTGAAAATGTGTATATTCATATATTTTGCCTGAATACATATTAAAACATTTAATTAACAATATAACTAACAAAACTTTAATATATACTTAATAAAAATGTTTTAACCTAGTATCTTACATATTTTTAATATATTATAATTTTATTAAAGCATATTTTGATAAACAATTTATTGTTATTCTAATTTTGATTTCTTCTGAATAATTTATAAACAAAGTACTTGGCTAAATTTTATTTTACTATTTTTAAAGGTTAATGATAAAGACAAGGGGTCATCTCCTAGTGTCAAATTTGAATTTTACCAAAATATTCTAGTTTAAAGTAATGTTTTTATAATAACCTGCTTTCATGTTTTTAAAATTTTGGTGATGTTGCTTTATATGCAAATCACTTGTTATAAAGAAAGTTGTGAAAATTAAAAAGAAAATTACTGAGTTACACAGAAAGGGTTTATATTTAATTTAAGACTTATGAATGGACATATATCACATTTTCTTAAAGATTATGTATTAGTGTTAAGTTTGAATTAACAATAGAAAGCTCCTTGGTAATATATCACTCAGAAAATTTTTTATTTTAATTTCTTATCACCAGTCTTTAATATCCAACCTTTTTTACAATATTAACTAAATGCCATAAAACATTTTTTATTGGTTTTTACAATTGTTTAAGTTAATACTATTTTCAATGATTGCTATATTTTTAGTTGTCTTTTATTTTTATTTTTTTATTGGTTGCTATTGTCTTTAATCTATGTATTAATTATCAATTTTTTTAAAGATCTTTGGTTTTAGAAATCAAAGATTTGATATCTAAACATACAAATGATTACATAATTTTTTTAATACCAAAAGTTTTTTTTTTTTCTTTGTTCTGTTTTAATTCTTTCTTGTTTTTTTTTTTTCTCTTTTATATTTGTAGGTAATTTAACAATATGTCGGGTTCCAGCTGATGTTGCTTTTTTGTTTGATGGTTCATTAGGTAATGAAAATAAAGAAAAATACTTCAATAGGTATATAGAGTTTGCTAAACAAGTTGTAGATTATCACCCACCTTCAATGCAAGGCTACCATTATGGAGCTGTTGTATACAGTGATACTGCAGAATTAAAGTTCAATTTTGACTTGTAAGTAATCTTTTTGAAATTTATAAAAAAAATTTATAGTTAAAATCTATTTGTAAATTATCATTTTTATATTAGGCTACCATTAGAAACTAATTATTAATATAACATATTTTGATAGATTAAGTAGATATAAATAAAGCTGTTTTTTTATATATAAAGTTAACTTTTCACCTCCCCAATACCAAAGGGTCCAATTAATAGTATATATATAATTAATTAGTCCCCTTGCTGAGGATCTCTCATTAATTTTTAAAACTTTGTTTTCAAGATAAGATTGTTTGTCAAGAAAATTGTTGAATGTATGATAAAATGGTGTGTATTATTGACTGTAAAACATGGTGGATGTAGTATTTAGGCATGGGGATGTTTTGGTTTGAATGCCACTGGTGACTTTGTAAAAATAGAGGGAGTAATAACAAAAGTAGTTTACTTGTACACTTAAAAAATCAAAACTTTCGGAAAGATGGTTTATTGGCTAGCCATTTATTTTTTCAGAAGAAAATGACATAAAGCTTTAAATCAAAACATATTTTACAAAAAAATTCGAGAATGATCAAATATTGAAAAGATTGCTTTAGCCTCCCCAATCACAAGATCTCTCTTATTTCGGATTTTTTTGGGAAGTAATGTCAAAAACAAATGTCTAATGGTGCATAAGATGTGGAAAAAACTTATTAGTTTTTCCACATCTTATACATTGAAATCATTGAAAATTAGATAAGTTGTTAAGTAGAATGCCAAGAATATGTATAGCATTTATTGTCACTAAGGATGATTAAAAAGCAAGTAAACTATAAACTAATCTAATGGGATTTTATATTCATTTTTTTGTTAACATAATAAATAGGAAGATAACATATAATTCAGGTAGACTTTGTTTTCAATTCCTTTCTAAATAGTAAGTAAAACTTTGATATCTCATATCAAAAAGTATGACCAGTCGAATTATTATGGATGATAGTGTTTATATATATATATATATATATATATATATATATATATATATATATATATATATATATATATATATATATATATATATATATATATATATATATATATATATATATATATATATATATATATATATATATATATATATATATATATATATATATATATATATATTAGACCATTTGAAATTTGTATATAAAAAAATTATTTTTGAATTTTATTTAGGCTACCCTTTGATTTGATTGGTTTGTGGTTAGGAAAATTAGTTTAAAATTGCAATCTTAAATAAATTGTTTTAAGGACAGCTTAATTAACTTTACTTTTTAACAGTTCCCTAATATTTAAAAAAGAAAAGTTTTTTAAAAGTATGTCATGTTGGGTCTTAAAAGTAGCAAAATATAAAAATTTAAAAATTTCAAAAAAAAAAAAGATTATTTAATACTATAATTATTTAATTGCATAAAAACTATAGTTTTTTTAACTAGAAATAAAAAAAGTGCATTCTTACAAGTTTTTAATTTTGTTGTAATTTGTAATAGTCTTTAAAAGTATTTTTTTTTTTCAATTTGTGTTTAAAAATGTTACTTTTTTTTTACAATAATTTTTAAAACTTTCTATGAAATTTTGTTTCTTTTCTAAAAGAAACGAAATTTCATAGAAAGTTTAAAAAATCTAAACTTCTCATAGTATTTGTGTTAATAAGATATAAATACATTAAAATATTTCACAACCTGGAGGTAATTCACTGCTGTAGAGTAGAATCCCTCCTATGAAAGAATTAGAATTGGTGTATACAACTGCAAATTAAGTACAAAATCTACAAGAATCCATAAATATAAGTTTAATTTAAGAAAAATCTATCTAAGTTATAATTAATGAGACCTTAGAGCAGGCAAAAGTAGAAGTAACCATTAATAATGATACTTTTGATAAAAATTTCAAAAATAATGTTGTTGAAATGATCAAAATTGTGTTAGTGGCTGTCATAACCCAAATCAAACAGCAGCATGACAAAGAGATCAATGATCTTAAAGACCAAATCAATGGAGTAGCCATCAAACCGACAACAGCAGTCAATCATTCTTATCTCGATATAACAAAGCAAAACACTTATGTTAACCTGGCAAGATCTACAACTACTATAGTCTCTATATAGGTCTTGAAGAGTCCAAAAAGAGAAGTGATGAAAATCTTGTAAAAGATTTTTTTTGAAGGAATCAAAGTTAACCACGTGGAAATTGTTCGTGTTTGTTGTTAAAAAAAAAAAGAAACAATCATCTTAGTAAATTCCTAGAACATGAACCAGGACAACCAGAAACCACTTGATGTAATACAAGTTATGTACAAATCAACAGTCGTAAAACAAGACGCTCTGAATGAAGACCTTATGAAAGCTAACCTAAACAAACCTATTTCAGTCCTATTTTAGCCTAGGTAAAAATTAATATTATTTGCAATTGGAATTATTTTTTATCACATCTTCATATGTTGCATTTTTTTTGTGGAGATTAGTTTGATAGTTTTCATGCAGCCTTTTCATTGTCAAGCAGTCTTTCACTGAGAATGGTTTATTGCATCGTTTTATCGCACCTGTATAATTGACGTTCCCATTAAAGTGAAACAATGTTTTAAGTACAGGTTGTAGTGAAGATCTATCTATATCAATTTCTGGAGTTACCTCTGGAATGCAAATACCTGAGCTGGTTATTTCTGCAACCTTTTTAGTGGTTTGAAGAGTACAATACATTTAAACATAACTATAGTTAAATCAAATTGATGTAACATTCAACAAATAATGTGTGCTGTTACATAGCCAAGTCATAAATTAACAAAAACACCTACAGTGCAAATTTTTTACCATAATACCCACAACATATTATGGGTATTCTGGCAAAAAACATCAACTCAAAAATCCTTGTTAAGAGAAATTAATCATTTAAGTTTTCTTCCAATTTGAAACTTTTATAATCTTATTAAATTGCATTTGGTGTTGACATTTAAATACACCATAATGTTAAGTGTTTATTTAAGAAAATATTTAAAGCTTTTATTTTAATTTAAACTTGAATAATAACTTGTTCTATGAGTTAACTTTAAATGTAATTTTATAACCATAGAAAAGCTTTTCTCTGGTTATAAAATACATTTAAACATCTTTAAAGATGTTTCATTTGATTTGTATTTTGCCAGTTGGTAGGGTGTTGTAAACTTTACAATACATCAATGCATTATTAAGTCAAAACTGCCAATTTTCGACTTTACATCTTTTGCCAGTATACCCACAATATACACTTCAATAATCCAAGTTGGAACCCTCAAAGTAGGAAAGTATCACCGAATGTTCAGCAGCCAAATTTTTAGTGCTTTGGTTAAGCGTCTAGCCAAATATTCAGTATTCAGCAAAAGCACTATCCATGAAATTTTTAAATATAATAGTACATGCTTTTGTTTTTAAAAAAAGAAACAAAAATAAAAGATTGGAAAGTTAAATCGAATGAAAAGATAAAAGGATTTTGAGGATTTTTTCACTTGACTAAATTGATTATTTAGTCAATTAGTAGAAAGTCTATAGTCAATTAAATCGACCATTTGTTTTTTCTTAGTCGACTAATTTTGACTTTCAACGAGTTAACTTTTAGTTGATTTAAATTTTTTTTTTTTTTTTTTTTTTTTTGTTAATTTAAGTTAAGTTGAAGTCAATAACAACACTATTTGGTTCTTGTGTCAGTGACTCTGCAGGCATTAAGGCCCACAACTTTTGCCTTTCTCAACCTCTAATATAAATAGTTAACTTTCCAACTTTCTTTTCCAGGCAATCTAAAACATTTACCTTCTCTACTCTACTTGTGTCTTATTTCTGATCCTAGTTGGTGCTCAGTTTCTCCACATTCACCCTTAGATGCTTCTGATTTCAGTTTGATCTCTCTAAAACTCTCTAATCTTATTCTTCTTCATCATAACAATCCCCCTCGTATCTCTTACAACTACCTTAAAACTGACTGGAACTTTTTCTGTGATTTTCTTTTTGATGGCCTTTAGGTAGATCTTTTTTGTCTCCAGCTGAAAAATGTTCTTCTTATGTAACTTCTTGAATCAGGCTGGCACATCTTTTATTCCCTCTCGGCAATTACAAGTCAAATCTCACTCTTCTCCAAGGTTTCCTCGCACTGTGCTGCAGCTATGTCCAATCGAAACCATTACTTTAATATCTATCAGCAAAAAATTCTCCAGAAAACAGACGTCTGTTTACTTTTGCTAGAAACCATTGTTAAAAGGTTTTGTCTAACACCAAAGTCTGCTATTCTCAGGTCATGAAATCTTGTATTTCATCTCAAAAATTAGGCTCTCGTGACTTGTGGAGAATCTTTAACAATATCAATAATAAGGGCAAATCTGTTATTCCAGCTCTCTTGTATGGTTCAGATTTTGTTACCTTACCTAAAGATAAAGCTGAATTGTTTGCTAAGAACTTTTCATCAATCTCATATCTTGATTCCTCTAATAACGTTCTACCTGATATAACCGACAAACAGATCGATTCATTTTGAGTATTTGTATCACTCCAGCTTCTGTATATAAAGAGATTTCCTGCATAGACTTTTTTATAGCTTATTGTCTAGATAACATACCTGTTATAGTCTTGCAGATATCTTCTCTGCAGCTGTCTTCTATACTTTCCAAATTAATTAACAAGTGCTTACCAGAATCTTGTTTTCCAGTCTGCTGGAAAGTAGCATTTGTTATCTCTATTTTCAAAAGTTCTGGTGGGTGATCTGACTTGTCTAACTACTGTGCCATCAGGAAGAATCCTATCATAAGCAAGGTTTTCAAGTCTTTAATTAAGAAATACTCAATCTCTCAGCTTGAATCTAATAATTTACTTTCTGATCATCAATATGGATTTTGATCTTCTTGTTCTATTGCTAATTTGTTAACTGGGATAATTGATAGGTTCTATCATGCATTATATAGATGAGGAAAGGCTAAGGCTATCACTTTCAATATTTCTAAAGCCTTAGATAAAGTTTGGCATGCTGGTTGTTTCCATTAAATCTCTTCTTACAGTGTATCAGGTAACATTCTTAAAATTATTGAATTCTTCTATACCAATTGTAGTATAAAAGTTGTCCTCAATGGACAGCACTCTTCTTTATATCCTGTAACTTCAGGGGTTCATCAAGATTCTATACTTGGCTCTATTCTTTTTTTAATTTACACTAATGATTTCCCTTAAATTCTCACATCTTAGGTGGCATTGGTTGCAGATGATACTACCATTTGTTCCTCTTTTGATAAGAAGCCAACACTCTCAGATTGTTTGTTGGGGGTATTTAAATTTGAAAAGGAACTCATTTCTGCTACAGCATGAGGATCTCAGTGGCTGGTGTACATAACTCAGATAAAACTCAATTTTTTTTTGGCGAATTGTTATCACAACATTCTAGATTTTCCCATATTTATGAATGGTAATGTACTGGATCTACCCTTTGTCTTCTAGGATTAATTAGTAGTTTGATCCCCACTATGTCCCTGGTAGTACTGTGCTCAACTTGTTTCTCCGTGCAGCAGTCTTGTTCTTCGAGGTTTGTGTTTCAGAGTTATAGAGTTGAGAGAGGGTTGTAACCACAAAAGTAGCCTCATCAAATAAAGTAGCCTTCTCAGCCTTGGGGAGGTTAAATTTAAAAAAAACATGAAGGTGACTCACTTGGCTACACTTCTCATTGGCTCATTAAAATCAAAGAGGGGATCACCCATCACATACCTTTCACTTTAACACATTACAAAAACAATCATGGAGTATGCCAGAAGTTAACAAAACAATGGAAAAGAAAAGAAACCTTTGGCGCAAATATCTTGCAGCTGGTAGATAAACTCACATAGAGATTTGAGAGGAGCATAAGACAGCCTGCAAGGAGCTAATTAAAGTTGTAAGATCAGCAGTTGTTAAGTTTGAAAATGAAATTGCAAATTCTTTTAAAATTGATCCAAAATGACTTTATAACCAAGTCAAACAGAAGCTAATAGCTAATGAAACGGTGAAATCACTGAAGAAAACAATGGAAATCTTACGATAGACAGTCATAAAGTTTCTCATGTACTTAACGTATATTTCCAGCCTGTATTTGTTGTTAAACCCTTACATCAAATGCCAACCTTTGGAACTGAACAGAAATGGAATTTGTCCTGAATGAAGCAGAAATAACAACTAAATCTGTTCAGCAAAAGCTAGAAGAGCTTATTGAGACAAAGTCAAAAGGCTATGATAACATACTTCCATGTGTTCTTCGACACTGTGCCACTGCATTAGCCAGGCCACTAGCTATGATTTTCAAAAAATCACTGGCTGAAGGCAGAGTTTCTAACCTATGGAAGCTATCAAACATGACTCTTAAATTTAAAAATGGAAGCCAAAGGAAATGCTGGAACTACAGGCCAGTTTACATCGCATCGGTACCCTGTTAGATAATTGAAAGTTTTATACACAAGAGAATCATAAAGCATTGCCTTGAAAATAGGCTCTTCAAAAAATCTTAACATGGACGTCTTCTAAGACGCGACTGTACAACTAATCTACTAGAGGCATGTGATATCTTAACAGAAGCACTATTTTAAATTTATGCCATAGACGTATTTTACACAGACTTTGCAAAAGCTTTTGACAAAGTACCTCACCAGCATCTTCTTCTAAAACTTGAAGCATATGGCGTACACAGTGCACTCCTGAAGTGGATAACAGACTAGTTAAAAAAACGAAAATAGAGGGTGTTTATCAGCAATAGCATATCTGATTGGGTAAATGTTACTAGCTGAGTTCCACATGTTTCAGTGTTAGGTCTTACTTCTGTATCTGATATCTGATTAGGTACTTCTGTATCTGATATATATAAATGACCTTCCAGACAACATGGTGCATCATATAAAGATCTACGCTGATGACAGTACAATCTTAGCGGTCATCAAAACAGAAGATAATGCAATAAAACTACAACTAGACCATAGATCATGCAGTTGAATGGTCTAAGAAATAGTTCATGTTTTTCAACCTCAACAAATGTAAAGTCATGCATGCTGGTCACTCAAATAAGTCAGTGTGCCTTTACTTAATGCTTGACATAGACAACAATCGAATAGAATGAACATGACTTAGGTGTCCTAACATCAGACAAACTAAAGGTTAGCATCAAGTAGCTGCAGCAGCTAGATTAAATCAGGTACTTGGCAGACTAAAAAAATCATTTTACACTAGAGAGATAATGTTATGGAGGGTACTCTACACAATATACATTAGACCTCATCTTGAAAATGCTATCCAAGCCTGGTCTCCTCACCTAAAAAGTGACATAAAAACACTTTAGTTCATTCAACAGCGAGCAACCAAAAGGATAAGCAAGTAAAGCATAAAAGTTATGAGGATAGACAATCATACTCAATCTTACCATTGTAGAAGAGTGACAAAAAAGGGGCTACCTGATTCAGCAGTATAAAATTACAAACGGAATAAAAAAACTTGACTTTGTAGTATATGCACAATCCTTATCACAGTATAATTTCTATGGACATAATCAACAACTAACTTGGCAAATTATAAAAACCTGCCAAAAATGGGACAATTTTTTTTACTAATCAAGTTGTTAACAATTGGAATGGGCTACCAGCGAGCGTAGTCAGTGCAAATGTGCTTGACGCGCTTCCAAAGCTAACCAGGACACATTGTGTGTCTCAAATTACATTGGTGTCATATTGGTGCCTGGTGCTGCACCACTTCATCAGGGTTTACAGCTCAAATTTTTTTTTATAAGATGTTTTTGCTTGTTAAATTTTGATTTATGAATAAACAAATTGAAATTCAAGTTCATACTTTCGAAGATAAATAATTTTGGTCATATATGACACCAACCATATTGTCAGGTACAGGAATTTATTTTTGAAATGAACAAAATAATTGTGATTTTCTTAATTAGTATTAAAATGTTCATTCAATCCAACTACAGGCTGAAATTTTTTTTTTGTTGTCATAACCCTAGTGTACATATATTGGCTACTTTACCTACACATTAGGCCAAAACTTCCATCTATCGAATTATTTAAATTTTGATTTGATATAGCTTAAGGGACGTTTATTTAGAAAGCATTAGGTCGTAATTATTGTAAAAAGTCTTTTCACTTCAATTGTGAAACTATTTATTTTTTTGATAAAAAAAACAACAGATTTTTAAATAAATATTTTTTTGCTTAAAATTTCCCTGAGTTATAAAAAAAAAGAAAATACTTTAAAAAACATTTTTAAGGCAACAAATTGTAAACTATAATTTTTGTAACATGCTGTGTAAAGCTTTTTGTTCTTCCAGCTTTAATATTTGGTTTTTAAGCTTGCAACTCATTCTAAATTTTGTCCTTGCTCTACAAGTTTTGAGTTAGTTTGTAACAACTGTTTACGAAGGCTCAAGAATTTAATATTGTTTTTTGAGTCAGGAGCCTATTACTGTTCTTATAATTATAGTGTGTAAATGATATATTATTTTGAGTCAGGAGTTTTGTACTATTTTTGTAAACGTAGAGTGTATGATTTAAACATTGTTTTAATTATTTTTATAAACATAGAGCGTATGATGTAAGTGGTGTATTAGAAGGGTTTGAAGATATAAAAAGAACATTTACTTCATTTAAAGAAGGCTCAAGAGTTGATTTAGGGCTTCAAGCAATAAAAGAACTATTTGACAAAAGTGGTAGAGACTGGGTTTCTCAGGTTTGTTACAAAATGTTTTATATTCAGGTTGAATGAGTTTTGTTTTTATATAATTTAAATCTGTATTACTGCTAGTAATAATTTTGATTCTGTGTTGCGGTATTTATTATAACAATGCATAAATTTATGCATTGAAAATTTTTTTTACAGTAGTGGTACAAAGTCACATGACCCCAAAATAGAAAAATACAAATTTTATTCAGTTTTTGTACAATATAAAAAAAAAAAACAGTTCAACATTTCAAAAAAAAGTAAAAATATTGTCTTAATAATAAGTCTTAAAATTAACACATCAATTTTAGAATATCCTCTATTTGTTTCCAGAACAGCATTGACTTATTTTGGCATAGAATGTACCAGGTTCTGGGTTGTTATAACTGCAGTTGAGTACCAAAAACTCTGGAAATGATGTCAAAATTTAATCAGATTTTAAAATTCTTTCTGAAGAGCTCCTCCAACAATTTTTTTTTGGAATTCAAATCAGAAAATTGTGGAAGCCATTTAATAGCGTTGATACAAGCTTGTTTTATTTAAGTTCCATAAGTTATTCAGCCTTTTGTCATAGAGCATTATCTTTTTGAATCAAAAAAAGCTTGTTTCTCCTAAAAAGCTTATTAGTTTATAACTCCACACCTTGAGGGAGACTCTTCTGTGCTTGGCTGTGGCCACAAACTAACTACATAAACTAAGTTTTCTTTTCCTTTTTTCTACTCTCCTCCTTACATAAGTCTCTTAACTTTACAAAGCTTTTCATTTTGCTATGTTTTCAGTTTGTTTCAATTATGACTTCTTTGCTCTATTTCTGTCATTCAAGTCAACATTGTGTAGATACTTTTTAACAGTTTTTGGTGGTAATTGAACTTTCTGATTTTGTAAATTTGTAACAGTTTTTGGTGGTATCTGATATGGCAAGTTTTCTGTTTTACAGAAAACTTGCCATATCAGATACTGTAGAGAATTCTGCTTAACTTGCACAAAATATACATTGATCTTGCCCAACTGTTATTTTTTATGACTTTCTCATAGGTTTTCTGTCTGCAACTGTACCAGTGTCTTTCATTCTCTTGACTGTTGTTTTGATCATTGACAATCCAACTTTCTTTCGTTTAGTAATGTCTTTATAATCAAATCCTTGATTTGCCATGACAATGATTTGCTATCATTTTCAATTGATACTTTCTTAAACATTATAGACATTCACACAAAATTAAAACATACATTTAACTTGAAAGTGTGTTTAAAACATTATTTAAACAGTCTATAAAATACAATTTAGAAAAGCTTTACGAAATAGAAATAATATTAATAATGTCATAATGTTTGCTAGGGTCATGACTTTATGCCACTACTGTATGTATTCAAAAGTTTGATAATAAAAACAAAAAGTTGCTGGTCTTAGTTATTCTTTGGTTTTTACTATTGTCTTTTCTAAATGTATTAGGTATTGATAGTTTTGACAGATTCTAAGAGTACTGAAGGCGTAGAGGTTATTGCACAATCATTGAGAGACTCAACAGTCAGCATATTTGTGATTGGTGAGATGTTTTATAACCTTATATATCATATATGTTGCTAACAATACAAAAACAGGCAACCATAATCACAAACCAAAACCACCAGTTGAACCACTAAATGAAAATACACATCTAAAATCAAAAAACAAAAGTGTAACCACAATCAAAAATCACACAACTAAAATTCACTTTTTTAACATTTTTCCACTTTACTGATAAAAAATGATGATTAGAAGAAATTTTTTTGTGCAAAATTCTGTTTACAGGTTTGGCAAATAAAGATAGTCACTCAGACATTGGTCAAATGGAGAAAATTGCTTCTCAACCTACTCAACATCATGTTTTCCAGATAGATATAAAAAAGCTTTTAGGAACAAATGAGAATGTAGCATATCCACAACATCTTGCACGAGTAATTCCTTACAAAATATGCAGAAGTAAGCAATCAAAAATATATTCACACACACAAGTGTATATATATACATTAGAGTTATGGTTTTTTATTTTTTTGTAGAATAAATAATTTTCTGTGTCATAAATTGGCGAACTTTTGTACAAAAGTAGTAAAAATAGGTTTTATTTTTTTATTAAATTTTTTTACTATCGACTTTTTGCAAACGGGAATTTTTTTTTTGATTTTGCTCTTTAGTTTTTGAAAAAAAAAAAAGAATTGAAAAGTAACTTTTTTTGACAAACCAGGCAGAATGTACTAAAAAATTTTGCTTAAAAGTAATGAAAATAGGTTTTATTCTGATTAATTTTCAAAAAAGTTCACCCTTAACAAGAAACTTTTAAAATGGTTATAAGTAGTATTTGCAGGCAGTAGCATTATGATTTTCTGAAGCCTAGAATTTTCTTAGACCTTGTGGACACATTATTATTTTTTTTGGACCTTATGACGCTAACAATTACATATGAGTTGTTATTTGATAGATGGCAATCAAATTATATAGAAGTACAATAGCACCTATATTTATTATTATTGCCTTTCAGAAATATATTCAAGTACTATCTTCAATCGTATCGTACTTAATCCTATAAGAAAAGTATGCTTAATCCTATAAGAAAATTATCCACTACTGAAAGACGAACTAGATAAAGAAATTAAGTACAATTTTATGAGTCACATAGGAAAAGAAGAACAATCACTGGAAGATAACAGCAGTATACCACTCAAAATCCAAATTGTTGGTTGCTAAGACAAGAATGCGTAAAGCAAATTAAGAAAGAAGTAACAAGTTTATGGCTTATATGGTGTATATCAATTCAAGTTGTACAGGCTAAACTTGATCAAGTGCTGAAGACCAACGATAAGTGCATAAAAAAAAAGAAAATACAATCCATTGAATAAAGTTTTTGACAAACAAAAATAGTGAGTGGCTCTGTAGTGATGATAAAAGATTGTATTATCTTTAGATTGAAAGCAAAGGACAGGTCAGAGATACATCTGGGAAGGCTGCTAGTTCAAAAACTATCCATTCATCTAAAAGAAGAAAAGTTTCCTCGATGCCCACTTCAACAACAGTAATGTCAACAACAACAACAACAACTTTTAAATCCAAGTCTGAGGCAGAATATCAATAGTCTGAAGATTCAGAACAACAGTCCACAAGAACTACAGCAAAACCATAACTGCAACCAAATCAATAACATCTTTAAAGTTATCAACCAGCAAAGCAATAACCATTTGTCAACAGTTATCTCAAGATGGAATTGACATTCAGACATCTTCACAGTCTGGTGTATTCAGATCAACTATTAAAGCTGTTAAACTTATTAAAGAAATGAAGAACTACATTTACACTACATTTAGAAAGCTGGTCACTGCACTTTGATGGTAAACATATTAGTCACCAAGAATATCAAATGTTAGAGTTGAAGAATAAAAAAAGAGAAATAAAGTAACCATGCACTACTACAACACAACAACAACTACAAAAAGATCTACCAAATGGAAAAGCAGATACTGTTGTTAAAGGTATAACAGCTCTTCTGGATGAATACAATTCATGAAAGAGTATAAAGATCATTGCAGCGGACAATACAAATGTAAACGCTGGAAGAAGGAATGGGATTGTCAGTCAGTTATAAAAATATTTTACTGAAAAAAACTGGAAGAACTACAATTCATTGGTTGTCAACATCATGTTCTTGATGGAGTTCTTCGCATAGTAATGGATAAAGAACTTTGAGGAAACAATGTCACCCAATATCAAATATCCGTTTATCCCAGAACTTGTCAAAGTTCAAAAACTACAAACAGTTTAAGAAGAATTTCAAGAAGTGGTGATATTAAATTTCTATTTTATTTAAGTTGGGCATTCTACTTTTTTGAAAAACCTGGAATATTTCTTAAAGTGATGTTTCTTTTTATGAATACCTAACTAAATAATGCAAAATGAAATTCCAGAGCAAAACTAGCTCTTTTTGCATTTATTCTTCTACCAGAGAGAAAAGACTCACTACTCAACATTTGCAGATTCATTTCTTACTGATTGGTGGACCATTGGTTTACTGATCAAATGTACAAAGACTATTGGAAGCTATGTAGCAGCTTACACAGTCACAAAAAAGCGTTAAACTTAGTGAAAATATTTTGGAATCAGGAATCATTGAGACTGGATATTCCCAGAATAAATCAGAGTGCAGAATGGGCAATCAAGTGTATTCAACATCTTTTTGACACCTGTAAAAAGAAGGAGAACCTCCAGCTTAGATTTGTTTTGTCTAACAAAATTATACATTCTTAGAAAAGATTATATTACTCTTTAATTAAAGCTACACAACATTTTTTCGATATATATAGTAGCTTTTCCTACTTGTAGGATTGTTATTAAAGTTTGTAATTTTATATTTATTTCTAGTTTAGAATTTTATGATGTAACAATAAACTGTTTAATGTTTCAAAACTACATAATAACTCTCCATCTATAAATCAATAAAATAATTAGAATTTCCATAAAAAAATTAGAATTAAAAAATAACAATCATTAATTATTTTATCCATACACAAATAAAGTTAATTTGAATTTTGATTTGTGGGTAACCTTTTTCAATAAGAAAATCAAATTAATATTTTTTCATTACTTTTGCACAAATATTCATTGATTTATGACCCAGGAACATAGGGTCACAAAAAAGTCAACCCTGATATACATTTATATACATACATACATATATCAAAAGAGATTTTTAAGAAGCTGCATTAATAATAACTAGAAAGTTTTTTTAATTAATAGCGTTTTTTTTTAATTGTTTTGTGATGCTAATAAAATGTGCGCGGGTTGCTATTACATAGCCTGTTGCTACAAGGAAGTGCTGCTACATCAACTGAGGGTTTGGTTTGGTCAAGTCTATCATTAAAAAAAAACTTTATTCTGGTTTTTAATTTTTTTCTGGTTTGGTTTATTAGCGTTCTCTTAAAAACTACAGTTTATGGAAAAGGCTTTTCGACTTCCATGCGTGTACATATATATATATATATATATATATATATATATATATATATATATATATATATATATATATATATATATATATATATATATATATATATATATATATATATATATATATATATATATATATATATATATATATATATATACATATATATATATATACATATATATATATATATATATATATATATATATATGTATATATATATGTATATATATATAAATATATATATATATGTATATATATATATATATATATATATATATATATGTACACACATATCCAAAGAATTCTGGAGAGTCTTTAGAAGTGTATGCAATAAGGGAAAATCTGTTATTCCTGCTTTCTTGTGTGGTTCAGATATTGTTACCTACCCTAAAGACAAGTCTGAGTTGTTTGCTAAGAACTTTTCATCAATTTCTTGATTACACTAATCACATTCTACCTGATATAGCTTACAAGCAGGTTGATCCATTGGTTGACATTTGTATCACTACAGCTTCTGACTTGTCTAACTACCGTCCCATTTAGCTTCTTCCTATCATAGGCAAGGTTTTTGATTCTTTAATTAGCAAACACTCAATCTCTCAATTTAAATGTAATAACTTTCTGATTATTAATAGGGATTTCAATCTCATTCAACTGTTGTTTTGTTGACGGTAACAACCGATAGGTTTTATTGTGCATCAGATGTATGTGGAGAGGTTAAAGCTATCACTTTCAACATTTCTAAAGCCTTGCAAATGCGGCCTAAGAACAGAGGTATAAGTTTAGATGATGGTCAATATGTAAAAATGCAATTCAGGAGACCATGTTCTTTATACTTACGTAACATTAAAGAAGCCCAATTAAAGCAAACTTTAAAAAAGCCATTAAGTGAAGTTATCATTTGTTTGTAATTAAATATAATTAATAGTTTATAATTAAAGCTGAAGATGCTAGTATCAAAAATCTAGCAAAAATTTCTTAGATTTATTAAAAAAATTCTCATACAAGATGTTGTCATTTAAAAAATATATATATTATTAATATATAATAAAAATATATAACATTTCAGAAGAGCATCTCTCTGTTCTTGTTGGAATTACTAATAAAGTTTAGTTATTTGGAGTTCCTGCATATGAACCAGGAATTGATATTACCACAGATTTGACAGTCAACCATTTGAAGTTATGGAAATGCAATGACTATTGTCTGCATGGTATTTGACACAACTGCATCAAATACAGGGCATGCCACTGCAACTTGTGTGATCATTCAGCAATGCTTGGGTCAATGTCTTTTTTGGAATGCTTGTCAGCAGTATGTTAGAGAGACAATCTTAACACATGTATTTTCTGACCTCCAGATCAAGGTTCCTAAGTCGCCAGATGCCACTCTGTTTACAAGACTTTGTAAAAAATTTGTGCTGCTTCAATTGCATCCAGCTGATCATCTGTCGAGGTTCAAGTCCACCTCCTTCAGTGAAAACGCTAAAATATTCACTAACTGTTGTAGAGAAGATGTTATGAAACTCACTTGTTCTGAGATAGATTATCGTAGAGATGACTATCTGGAATTTGTCGAATTATGTTTTTCAAATTACTGTTTTTCTTGATTGTGAAAAAAAAGGACACACCTTTAGATTTAAGTGACCCGAAGTGCCACATAAAGCCAGATGTTTTGCAAGGCTGATCTACTAAATTAAAATTTGCCTGTTAGAAGATCAGATTTGTGATCTTTCACTTGGCATAATAACCACAAAAGCACAAACTACTAAAGTGAGAGATTTTGTCAACTTTGCTACCCTGATATATAGTGTCTAGTGGATGTCCTGTAGTTCTGCTACAGATGTGCCATGGAATGATCTTATGTTGTTCTGTTCAGTATTAATGTATGCAGAATTGCACCCCAAAATAGCAGAAAATTTGTTAAGAGCATTTAAATAACACTTGCTTTATTTAACTGAAGAAATGGTGATGCTTGCACTTTCTAGCTCTAAAGTTCCACCAACAGAATGGCAAGCTCTTTCTTACGGTCTTCTGGCAATCAAGCCAGATACTGTTGCGTCCCAACCACAACTCCGACTTGGCACAAGATTTGGGAAGTCTAATTTTCCTGATTCAATTAAGTTATCAAATATGCTTGCTGGTCTTGTGAGAATGAACTTGTGGTTCATGTTTCACAGCCTGCAGATCAATCCAGAGTTTGTGGCCAAGAAAGTTATGGATTGGCCAAATTACACTTTGTATCAGGTTTCGATGATCAACATTAAAGCACTGAATTTGGTAGATGATAGTGCAGAGAGAGGGATTAAACTCAGCTCTAACTTCCTAGCTACAGCCAAGAGTAAAGAGCATTATAAAATGTTTAGCAAGTTGTTGAGAAAGGCTGAAAAAGGCAATTAGACATTCGAAAACGCAAGAAAAGAGTTGAAATAAACATTAAGACTTTCAATTTTCAAATATTCTTAGCATTGCTGTTCTTTTGTTTAACTTATAAATAATATAAGGTGTTGTAGGTCAAATGTATGAACCTTAGTTGCTTTAATTAAAGTAGTTTGTTAAATACCAATTAACATTAAATATAGCAAATTTTCTAAAACTTAATTTGCTTAGTCGACTACGTAGATAATGTTCAACTTTTTCAAAATCGCACCAGAAATGATGTTTTGGTAAACGAAAAAGAATTAAATTGATAACAAACTATTTTGACAAATTTTTCAAAATGTCGGGGCACTGGATGCACCCTAATATAAATTTTCTCTTGAATTATTTCAACTTTTATTTTAATTCATAAGGTGTACCTTTTGTATCCTAAAAAAGTAGAAAATGGGCTCAACAATATTCTGATTCTGATCTTTTTAACTGTGAAGTAATTTGCTTAGATTTCAAAAAAAAAAGCCTAAATGTTTGAAACCAATATGCATACTATTCCAGACTAACCTGTTTTAACTAATATACTTTCAATTCAAAAATTTTATTTTTATTGCTATGATGAAACTGTTGGAAACAGATGGTCTGATGTTGTATGTTCTATGCTTCATGATTTTAAATTATCAATTGTCTCAAGTGTGAAGGATATCAAATTGATTTGCAGTTTTATGTGCTAGGCAAAATACAAAATGAAAAGTTTAAATTTTATTTTATTATCTAGTTTATAAAACTTAAAAACTTGACAGCATTACTGCTTCATTATCAGTTAGAACTCTGTCACATTATGTATAGGCATTACACCTCTAAAAAATGTGACATTGGTCATTGCAAATCAAAATTTTCTTGCAGAAACACTAGGCGATCTTACAAAACACCATAACAATTTAATATTGTATATAAACTTGATACAAGAAAGATTTCTGAAATTCGCAGAGTTTCAAAGTCAAACTTCTTGGTTGTTTGCTCATTTAAGATATGTTGACTTAGAGAAATTGAAATATTAAAGGTTATAAATTATTAAAAGTTTAAGTTTAATTATGTTGGAAAATCGAAATATTTAATTTTATGTGTGTTACATCCCATATGTTTAGATCAATGATCGAAGTCCCTGATAAACTGAAACAAGTATACAAAACTCAGTTGCCTATTTTTGTTAAAAATTTAAAGACTTAATGAAGCTAAACATTTTCTGAAAGGACAAAATAAGACATTTGATCTTATTTGATCTTTTTTTTTAAATTTATTTTATTTTTCTTTGAAATTAAAAACAAAACATTTTTATTAGCATTCATAACAAAAAAATCAACGGGTACACTAAAATGTCCCCGATAATGCTAATGTCTCGTGAGTGTTCATTTTTTTGTAAAATCTGTCCCCTTAAGTGCTAAACTATACAAATATATATATATATATATATATATATATATATATATATATATATATTTGTATATATATATATATATATATATATATATATATATATATATATATATATATATATATATATATATATTTGTGTCTGTAGATGCAGTGGAGAAAGTTTGTTGTTGTTGTTGATTTTTAAGTTAGTATTAAGAGATATGCTTTGAATTTAAGAAGAAAAAATATTAGTGTCATGGTTGCTACTCCACCTCCAACAATTAGAAAATTTTATTTGAATTATATAGATTGTATCCATCAAGGCAACAAATCGAATTATTATAAACCATGTTTCAGTTATAAATACAATATGTGGGAAATACAATTATAAATACAATTTTGACGCATAGTTGTAATTTAAAAAGCTACATTTGTTTATAGATGTAGGATTGGTATACATGTATTTAAGTTGCTTACTAAATAAGTTAAAAGCATTTAATTGAGATTGCGGTTGCAGGTGGTTTTAAGAATTATATAATAGCATTAAAATTTTTTAATTCTCTTTCTATAGTGATTTTAATTTTTTGATGAGATTGTTTATAACATTGCTCATTACATTTTGTCTGATTATTTTTTGAGGAACTTATATATATATATATATATATATATATACATATATATATATATATATATATATATATATATATATATATATATATATATATATATATATATATATATATATATATATATATATATATATATATATATATATATATATATATATATATATATATATATATATATATATATATATATATATATATATATATATATATATATATATATAAAAGATAAATAAAGTTATATTTAAATTAAGTTTAACTGTGCTTTACATTTTTAAATATACAGCATTTAGTTTTTGTTTAGTGAACTTAGCGTTTGTGGTGGATATGAAAGGTAGTGAAGTATCAAGATTATCCGCTATAAAAGACTTTATCAAAACTGTCACATCTGATCTTGGAATGGGTTTATATGGGAGTCATGTTTCTGTGGTTGGGTATGGTGGAAAAGCAAAAAAATCAGGGTGGGATTTTGCCAGATTTATTTTGTGTGGCTCTACACCAACTTGGTAAAAATTATTTAATTTTTGTACTTACAGGGTTATGCAAAATTATAAAGTACTTTATGCAAAATTATAAATTGTTTTATGCAAAATTATAAAGTGCTTATGCAAAATTTCGAATCATTTAATAAATCCATTTAAAGCATAAAAAAGTTCGAATATATGATTTATTTATATATAAGCTCATGTCATTTAACATTTAGACTTCAAAAAAATTATATTAATTTAAGCAACCACTTTATTCAAAAATCATATTTTGTTTAGCTATTTTCAACCATCGTTCCATCTCTAAAATCCACTTAATTCTTTGTTAATTTCATGCATTTGATTAAAAATTATTTCTGATGCATCTCCAATATTAATTTCATTATTTAAAACTTTTATTCCGCGATATCTTGCCTTTATCTTGCTAAAAAATTCCTTAATGGGATTTAATTGAGGAGACCATGCCAGTAAATATTCTCTATTTATTCTTAATTCATTTAAAGCTTCTATAGTACTTCTTGATCTGTGAAATGGAACATTATCCATTATCAGTATATGGTCTGGGTTTTGTCGGAAATAATTACACAGGATATTTCTTATAAATCTTTCAAAGCTTTCAGCATTATAAGCTCCAGCTCTTAATTCATAAGCAACCACACCAGAAATATTTATTGTTCACATCAATTTTTGATTTGTATTCCTGTTTCTGGAAACAACAGAATATGCCTTTTCGTTTTTTTGGGAATACCCATATTGTCTTCTCAAATGCTAATTAAATCCTGATTTGTCTAAAAAGATCAATTTATCATTAGAAATATGCTAAATACGGCGGGCATATATGGCCCTTTGTTCAATATTTGTTGGGGAATTTGGTTCTTCAGGAACCAATGAAAGCCTTTTTTGCATTATATTTATTTTCCGCAATTTCCTTACGGAAAATAAATATAATGATACGGTTGATTGAGATATTACCTTACCGGTTGCTGCATTAACTTCATTTACCATTTCATTTTGTGTCATTTTCGATTTTACTGAACTACAAATTTTTGTTTTTGATTGTTTGCTTGTAGCATTCTCCCTTAGTAGCAAATTTGATGCCTTCTTGATGATTTCTAATGCAGTTTCTTACAGCACTTAATGTTTAAAGTTTCGGCAATGTATTTGGTTGAATGATTATTTATAGAATTAGACATGTTTATAATTGTTTCATGAATTTCCTTAGTTATCGTTATTCGACTTTTTCTTGCCATGTAAGGTTTTAAATTTTTATTTTTAACATTGATTTAAAAAACTTGCATTAATTAGATAAAAACGTTACTGATTTGGTTTTTGTTTTTCAGCCAGTTAGTCATTTAATTTTTAATTACAATTTAATATTGTATTTTAATTCCTATACAGCTTTCTTAGATGATTCTGAAAATGACCTGCACTATTATAATGGCATTTATTTATTGTTAAATAAAGCACTTTATAATTTTGCATAAAACAATTTATAATTTTGCATAAAGCACTTTATAATTTTGGATAAAGCACTTTATAATTTTGGATAAAGCACTTTATAATTTTGCATAACCCTGTAAATAAAATTTAGTAAAATGTATACTTTTAGTAATTTTTAAATAATTGAAAATATAGCTTTTATAAAATTAAAATTTTCTAAAAATATATTTAAACAATGTAGCGTAATTAAAAATAGCAATTTGTATTTATAATTTTATAAGTTAAATTATAAAAACTAAATTTCAAAGTTTAATGAATGCAAAATAAAAACAATTAAAAGATTATTTTAATTTATTTATATATTTAATTTATATATAATTCAGTAACTTAGATCGTGCTGAATACTTGAAATCTGTTGATAATCTGGAGTCAGAGGTTGGAAAAGAGAGCGATGCTGGTTCAGCACTGGAAAAGGTTTTTGGTATGGTATTTTTAATTTAGATAATATAAAATGATAATTTGATCACAATTTTTTTTTTTTTATGAAGTGTTAGAGAGTTTTCTTTGTACCATTTTTTTTTTTCTTTTCTTTGTGCTTTTTTTATAAATAAATGTATATGCATTTTATAAATGTATAAACTTTTTTATGAGTTTTATAAACTTGATTTTGAAATTGTTGTAAACATTTGAAATTGTTAAAAAAAAAAATTTAATATAGATAATAAAAGCTTTTTATTTGTGTAACACTATATTTTTTGTGCAGGATTTTATTTTGATCACTCAAACAATGGACAAGAGTATTGGAATTATTTGAATGTAACTGTTATTTTAACTGATCGTAAGTTAGATGGACCATATGAGACTGTAGCTCGTAAATTACGCAATCATGGAGTTATAATACATGCAGTTGGTTGGTTGGATGTATGTTTTATTAGTAGTAATTATCTTGAATTGTTTTATCTAGTATTTAAAAATAACAAAAAAATTATAAATCATTGTATGGTATAACTCATTAAAAACTACTTTAATTACATAAAACACCTGTTTTAATTAACCTATAAAAAAGCCATAAAATGACTTTAATATTATTTTATGGCTTTTGTTTGCTTTTAACTCACATCACATAAAGTGCTTACAAGTTACAAAAAAAAAAAACAAATTTAGGTTTTTGCATAAGTGGACTGCTATATCCACTCAATAGTAGACTTTTATGTGCATATGAGCATGTGGAGCTTGTAATTCTTGGATTATAATCCGTCTATTGGTAGTATTGTAATAAAAATAATCAGTCTTGATCTGAAAAACAGGTTAATGCATGCAGTTGTAAATTGTTGCCTCCAGGTTCTTATTTAAATAAAAAAAATTGTCCAAACCACACAAGTTTGGAACCATGAATGTTAAACTTATAAAAAAGAACAAAGTATTTAAGGTTTATTATAAAAGTATCAGATTGAATTCGATGTTCTCTGGGCTTATCTTTGGTCATTATCATTTGGCATTATCCATTTAGTTATTGATAGTAGTTTCACTTTATAGATAGGTATTAATTTTTTTTTCATCCACCTAAATGTGTTACACTTTGAATGTGTTAAAGGTTGCACTATTTAATGTGTCACTCTTTGATGTTGCGCTAGTATTGTACTAGTAAGGTAACCTTAAGGTTTTGTGAATTGAGTTAGATCTGTGGAATATTATTTTTATTTTGGTATTCCTAAATTCATATTCATATTGTGCATTTAATGGAGATAGTGAAGCAAGATGCTTGACATACATTGACCTTTGAATAAAGTTTAAAATGCTAGTCTTCTATGGTATGTCAGGGTTTCATGTGCTTCATATGGTGTATCTGGGAAATTTTTTAAAATTATTTTAAAAAAAATTTTTCTTACATTTCTTACATTACATTTCTTTTTAACCATTTTATTAAAGTTATGCAACACTCTTCTTCATTTCTAGTAACTTCTGGGGTACTTCTGTTATTTACCGCAATCAACTATTGCAACACTGACAATTGTCAACATTCCTATATTATTATTATTATATATATATATATATATATATATATATATATATATGTTATTATTATTATATATATACATATATATATATATACATATATATATATATATATATATATATATATATATATATATATATATATATATATATATATATATATATATATATATATATATGTTATATATATATATACATATATATATATATATATATATATATATATATATATATGTTATATATATATACATATATATATATATATATGTTATATATATATACATATATATATATATATATATATATATATGTTATATATATATACATATATATATATATATATATATGTTATATATATACATATATATATATATATATATATATATATATATGTTATATATATACAACATATATATATATATATATATATATATATATATATATATATATATATATATATATATATATATATATATATATATATATATATATATATATATATATATATTTATATATATATTGTCAAGATTCCTATATTCCTATATTAATTAATGACTACCCTCTCAGTGAGACCTTTTCTTTACATCTTTTTGACCTCTCATAGAAACCATATACAATCAGTTCTCAAGTTCGCATTTGCTAAGGTTGCTTCTCTTCATTGTGCTTGCCACTATCTTACTTCTGATTCCATTTTCTACCTCTGAAAATCTCTTGTTCGTCGCTGTATGAAATACTTTTGTAATAATTGGGGTTGTTTTTTTAATGATGCTCTTTCTCTTTTAGACTAAGTCAAAAACGCATTGAAAATGTAGTTGGATCTGCTATATCTGCCAAGCTTGAGCTTCTTTCTCATCATTGTAAAGTTGTATCTCTTTCCCTTCTCTACAAATACTGTCAACCAAAACTCAATCTTGCTTGACTCATCATTCAGCAAAGTCACATCCTTTTACTGTATCTTTTCCTGTATGCTCTAAACACTTTTATTCATGTAATTATTTTTTCCCACACTTCAACTTTTAAAATACTTTCTCATCATCATGTTTTCCTAACTCATACAACATGCAACTTTTTAAGTCTTCTGTTAACCGTTTCCTTGCTCTTTAACTGATTTTTTGTTTTCTAGTAGCTCTCAACTTTAATAATGGTTGTTTGCAGCCTTTTTAGGAGTGAATTAAAATAAAAAAATATATATGTATATATTTCTTTATTGCAGGCAAATAAAGGTTTAGCTAGAAATACATTAGCTGAAGCAGCAAGTGATTCAGATGACTTTTATTTGCATACTCACACTGGCATACTTGCACTGGAAAATGTTGCACGTAGAATGAAGCAATACTTTTGTAAGTTTTTTGTAATGTAATATACATGCCATCTATTTTAATTTTTCTGCAGCTGGCATACATTTTACTCTGCAAATAAGTTTTATTTTAAATTGCAGACATTTTTAAACATTATAATTTGTGCATAATTTTTATGTTTTATCACAGACATTTCCAAACATTTCTCTTAGTACATAACTTATACATGTTTTATAAAAGTTTAAATTATAGCTTTGCTGCTATTTGGTCATGAGTCATACAAAAGTAAGGTGATTGGTGGATGGGAAGAGGCTGAATCTAAAAATCTTTTAAGTATATTCAATTAAAAATGATTTATTTTATTCTATTCAACATTTCATTTTGTTTAATTTTTATTTAAAAAATGCGTTTGAAATATTTTATTTAGAAAATGTGTCAAAACTGGAAAACCATCGGAAAGTTAAATCGGCTAAAAAAAAAACGAAATTTCATTTTTCTAAAAAATTACAACAAACTTTTTCTACTATTGATTCAAAGAAAAACTTGTCAACAAATGTTAATGGTTTAAGTAATTTGCCAGGATTTTGGAATGATTCTAATACAATCGAGAAAGCATCTGACAGCGCTAATAGTTTACATAGCATGCTTCATGCATGGAAAAGTCATTTGTTTGAAAATGAGACTCAGTATAAAAAAAAGATTTTGAATAAAACAGTGAGTTCATCTGAGAACAAAGATAAGGAACTGTTGTGGAGTATATCTGATGACTCTATTCTTCGACACAAGCTTCTGCAACAGTTAATAAAAAGTTTTCAAATCAATGGTAATATATATGTGAATTTTAGTTTTTTATTAAAGTTTACAGTAGAGAAAAAACATTTATATGTTGAAAGATTTAGTTTAGATATAATTGAAATATATTTGATTCGTACTACCCTTATTTTGAGCGTTCCAACGCTGTTTGCTAATAATTTTTTAGGAAGGGAAACGCTTTTATTAAAAAATTTAATACTTTCTCTTTATGAAACATTCTATAAATATTTTTTTCGATTGTCTGAAATAGATGTTATGACATTAGATATTTATTGACATTTTAGTAAAACAACCCTCTAAAAGATTTTTTTGTTTTTTTGGTATAATTGCTTTTAAATCTTAATAAATGTCTTAAAATATATTAAAAATAATTAGAATGTTAATGATATATGACATAAAACGACAAAAACAATGTTTAAATCATAGTTTATGAAATTTTTTGGTTCAATTTTTTTCGCTTTTGTTTTTTGGTCGGTTTTCTGTTTATTAATTTTGAGATTTTAACAAAAACATCAACAATATTAAGAAGATATTTACTTTTCGTTATAAAAAATGATTTTAATTTTAAAGTTGGAAAAAAACGGTATTGTTGTTGTTTTGTTGTTGCTTTGTTGTTGTTTTGTTGTTGTTTTGTTGTTTATAAGATTATAATATTTTTGTTTATAAATATCATTATTAAAAAAAAAAAAACATTTAATTTTTTTTTTTTTCGGTTAGACTATTAACCATATCGCATAACGATGCTATAATATATTTTGGATCATTTCATACGATTCATTAAGTACTGTGTAATTCTTAAAGTTACTTGTAAGATGATAAATGGTCGATTAATTGATCGATTGAATTTATAACTGAAAAATAGTCTATACATTTTTTTTTTATCAATCCAACATTTTTAATATTTTGGCATAACTTTACTTTAATGTTAAAAATAAACATTAATTATTTCTTTCTACAAAACTATATAATTTGTTTGTTTATTATAGATAAATCGAAAACAGAATCGTTAAAGGATGTCGATGTCCATGCAACGTCTTCAAAAGTATTACAGGCATCTAATGATACTATTGATAAACTTATAAATAAAGGTGGTGATGATGAAATCTCCAAAAAATTGAATGAGCAATTTGAGAAATTTTGAATTGACATGAAAATAAGTTTATGCCAAACTGGATTTAATTTGTTCATGCAATTTGAATGATCAGATTCACATTAAAATGGCTATTTAAAAACTTCTGTTTTCGCACTATGTCGTATATTGAAAATTTTATTAATTGGTTAGGGGTAAGATGAATCGGAAATCATTATATCGCATAACGATGCTATAATATATTTTGGATCATTCCATACGATTCATTAAGTACCGTGTAGTTCTTAAAGTTACTTGTAAGATAATAAATGGTCGATTAATTGATCGATTGAATTTATAACTGGAAAAATTGTCTACATTTTTTTATCAATCCAACATTTTTAATATCTTAATTAAAGAATTAAAAAAATAAATATTCTGATAACTTTTTCTGTGATATCACATGTTTTATTTACATATATATAGTATATATATATATATATATATATATATATATATATATATATATATATATATATATATATATATATATATATATATATATATATATATATATATATATATATATATATATTTAAATGATAGACTGCCTGCCCAAACCAAACCCTCAGTCGATGTAGCAGCACTCCCTTGCGAGTCAGGCTATTTGTCAGTCGTTGTAGGAGCACTCCCTTGCGAGTCAGGCTATTTGTCAGTCGATGTAGCAGCCCTCCCTTGCGAGTCAGGCTATTTGTCAGTCGATGTAGCAGCACTCCGTTGAGAGTCAGGCTATAAGATAGTCGATGTAGAAACACTCCCTTGTAGCAGCAGGCTATAAGCTAGTCGATGTAGCAACATTTACGCATGTTTTAAAAATGTTTTTTAATAAAACAAAAACACCACTTATTAAAAAAAACTTTCTAGTCGTTATTATTGCGTTTTTTTAAAAAACAATAAAATTTAATGTACTTCCGCATTACAGGGTTATTCATTCTTATATGCGCGTCTATTCATTTTTATATGCGCCTTTATTCATTTTTATATGCGCCTTTATTCATTCTTATATGCGTGTTTATTCATTCTTATATGCGCGTTTATATATGCGTCAACCACCCATAAAATCTCTAATATAATTTAATATAAACAATAAATACGCTTTTAAATTTTTATATCGATAAATTTAAAATATAAATTAGGTTGTTTTCATTGTTATTTATTTAAGCAATGGTTGCCGAGCCAGCGCTGGATTTATATAACTACGCATATGGTTGTAAAATGGAACTATATTAAACTCTGTAGTATCCATAATATTTTTAAGTTTCCTGATTACCTCATCCGTATTTCGAGGCCTTTCTCCCTGTTTGTAAGTATGTTTTAAAGAAGAAAAAAATTCTTCTATTGGATTAAGCTGTGGCGTGTAAGCTGGCAGATACTTAATAGCTATACCATGAGAGGCTAGTGTTTGCCTAACAGTAAGACTCCAGTGGAATTTGCAATTGTCCATAACAAGCACCAGCACTTCCACATTTGTATTCCTAATCGCTATTGCCATCATTGTAGTTATGAAAATAAAAAATGAATCTGCATTCCAGCCTCTAGTTTTTGTTTTATAAGCAAGCACTCCCATTGTTGAAACAGCACAAATTAAACTAACATTCTTGCCACGATTTACAGGTGACTGTAAAATTGCTGGTGCACCTCTTAGCGAATAACCATATGTGCTGTTAGTGCGCACAGTTTCATCCAAATAAATAAGTTTTTCATCTGAAATTCCGTTAATTTCGCTTGCAAATGCATAGCGTGCATTAATAATTTGTGTTGAATTTCGTTCTTCTGGCACATGCACAACACGTTTTCTTGATAAATCCGAGCGTTTGAGCTTTCTTGAAATAGTAGGCTAAGACATGTTAAAGCCTGCTGCAGAAAGATTTTCTTTTAATTGCTTATTGCGTGCAAAGATTGTTTTCTTGTACGCATAATTCGATAATATTTTTTATTTGAGCGTTTATAGGTCTTTTATCTCGTTTTTTTTATCAGAAAACGACTTGAATGCAGTCATGTCGTCGAATTCTCCTATGTTTAACTTTACGACAAGATTTTGAATTGTGCGCTTCGATAAATTAAGAGAAGTGGAAATGCTTGTTGTAGATTGATTTCTTTCAACTAAATGCTTCAGCATTTCAACGTTCTCTTTTGTAACATTTTTCCTTGTTTTACGATTGGTACTGCTATTTTCTATTCCATCCATTGGGTAAAAATTGGATATTAATAATTATAGATAATTAAATGTTAAATCTAGAAAAATAAATAATTAAATAAAAAATAACTTTATCAATCAAGAAATTTAATACAATAATACAATTTAATACAATGAATAAAATTAAACTAAGAACAAATACTAAATTAAATAAACCATCATCGAATGTAAAAAGTCTTCGTCTTTCCTTTACCAGGAAATAAGAAAAATTTGCTTTGAAATAATAAACTGTTTTTTCAATGATTTTTTTTGTTCAAATTGCTTTTTTACAATTGCTTTTGTTAAACCACATATAAAAATGAATAAATGCGCATATAAGAATGAATAAAGGCGCGTATAAAAATGAATAAATGCGCATATAAGAATGAATAAAGGCGCATATAAAAATGAATAAATGCGCATATAAGAATGAATAACCCTGTAATTTTATTGCTTTGACATTTTGACGACAATCAAATACAGCTTAAGAGACGAGGTAATTAAAATTGTAGTAGAAAGAGACTTTTTTTTACATTAAAAGACTCTTTCAACTACACTATAAGGATATATATATATATATATATATATATATATATATATATATATATATATATATATATATATATATATATATATATATATATATATATATATATATTAGCCAATCCCATATTTTTTTTCCTAATTTTTAGGTTTCTTTGTTTTTTATAAAGAGTTATCTAAATAAATGATCTATTTATACTTTCTCAAATGCGATAAAATGATCAATATATACTTTCTCAAAACTTTTTAAATGTACTCTTTTCTATTATTTAATGCAGATCATTAGTGTAATACATACGTCATTGAGTAATAAAAACGTCGATTATGGTTGGAGTAATGGCGTGTAATTATAAACCTGTTTATGAAGATCAGGTTTTTCCCACATAATGCGTAACGCTTCTATGGTTTTTAACTAATGCGAAGTTTGGGCGTAGTCTAATAGTAAAAAAGAGTCTTTATTGGCATCAAGGACGTTTTAATAGATCGATAGCCAAACAATAGGAAACATTTGCGTCGCGTGGAATTTTTTTTACATGATTATTAGGTTGGGTCGTACTTTTAAAATTTTGGATATGGGAGCGTGCGTAATATTTTTTTTATGTATTAGGACATTAGAAGAGACGTGAATAATTTTTTTTCTTAAAAAGTTCATCTATTGTGGGCGCAGGGCGTTTAAAAAATGTCAGTTATACGAAAAACTCTAAAAAAAAATTAGTATAACAAACTTATTATTGTTATTTTCAATATGCATAATGCTATTAGTATAAAATGAGGTGGATCGTAAAACATAGTCAAAGTTTGTGAGTTTAGGCCCCCCCATCCTTACATTATTATTAAAAATCATAAAAATTGGTCAATAACTGGAAATAGTGTATGATTTTTGTTATGTTATAAAGTTCTTATAGCTTATCGGGTAAACACGAAAAAATCGTCCACGATTTATCGGAATTATTAAATGTGTTTACATAAACTAGAGTTTCAACTTAATTTTAAGGGACTTGATGGGTTGTTTGGCAAGAAATTGAACTTTATAGCGGGTTGATGCCATCATTTCACAGATTTTCTTTTTTCACCATATTGGTGGTATTAATCCGCTTTTTTTGGAAGTCCTTTTTATTATTTGTTACTCCACCTGTCTTACGAAAAACTCCTTTAACTATTGCCCAAAAATCTTCAATCTTGCGCTCTTCAGGACGATTTTGAGGATTTGCATCTTTAGGAACAATTTTCACATTATTATCTTTACACCACTTAGAACTTTTTAACTTAAAAAGTTCTACAGTGGTGTAAAGATAATAATGTGAAAATTGTTCCTAAAGATGCGAAAATTGTTCCTAAAGATGCGAAAAAAGACTTTTGCCTTTTATAAAAAAACACAAATACCGATGTCTCTTTTGGCCCGATCACTATTCTTAAAATTTAAGAATAGCGAGAGGCAGCAAGATCGGGCCAAAAGAGACATCGGTATTTGTGTTTTTTTATAAAAGGCAAAAGTCTTTTTTAGAGGCATTCTTTGATGTAGAGATCGGCAGTCAAGATCTTTTTAGTGACAAAACAAAATGACTGAATACCACAGCTACAAATTGCTTGCCACCCAAGGAACTTGGATGCAAATTTTTCTCGTCGAATATATTTAAATTGATCATCGACAGGTTTATCTTTGTTTTCATAGTAAAACTGTTGACCAGGAAGTTGTGAAAAATCCGCCTTGCAATACGTTTCGTCGTCTTCAATTATGCACATATTTTTATCCGCCATTATTTTAACCAACTTCTTTGAGCTTCGGATTCCTTTATTTTCACAATTTAAGCTTCTCTTTGGTGTATTTTTTTTTTATGAAATGCTTTAATTCCAGCATTTTTAAATACTTTTTTAATATAAAAACGAGAAGTCTTGAATTTTCTTGCTAGATATCGCTGTGACTGGTTTGGATTTCTTGCTATTGAACGTAAAATCGACTTTACCTTTTTGGATTTATGGAAAGTTTTTTTTCTTCCACTTCCAAGTTTTTCTTCGAAGCTTTGAGTAGTCTTGAACTTGTTTATAATATCTATGACTGTGGATTTTGGGACAAATATGCGTTTAGCAATCAAGCGATAGGAAGTCGATGGGTTTTTGCAAAAAAATTCACAACTTTTTTACGCACCTCAATTTGTTTCCAAAACATTTTGCAAATCATTAATTTGTAAACAAAAACTTATAAACACCATTTAAGATAAGGTAGTAAGGTTAAATTAAAAAAAAAATTAAATAAAAAGCATTTGTGGTTTTGGAGAAATCTCAACTTAAAGTTGACCGGATTTTTCTATGTCCACCCGATATTTGTAGGATAAATAATAATAGTTTCCTGACGATTTGCTTTTTAAACGTGTTCTATTTATTTATGATTACTTTGGCATCCTAAATATTGTAACAAAAATAATGCAATGAACAAATTTATAACATTTATATAAAGGTAGTCATTTAACCTACTACAAAAAGTTAACAATGTTTCTAAACAAACATAACATCAACTTCATTGCGATAAATGGCTAAATCTGCTCGAGCTCAAACAATATTAAAATGTACTAAATTGCACGAGTTACTGGGTA